TGCTGGCTCATGGAACTGGGATGATCTTGAAGGTCCTTTCCAACCTAAAAACCATCTTATGGATTCTAGATCATCAACTTCAAATCAAAAACCATCAAACCCCCCAAAACACCACAAAATCACCCCATAATCCCAATCCCACCCCCCCCTCAAAGATTCTCCTACCTTGTAATCCTGCACCACCTCCTCGAGAGGAACCACGCTGTGATGTTTGTGACTCCTGGATTCCCGACAAACCACGCAAATGGCTTCTTCATCCACTTCACAAAAAAGTTTGAGAGGTTCTTGATGTTTTTGACATAAATTAGGTGATCCTGGACCACCCACCGTTATTAAAATTCCTGGGAGACCTGAAACAGCTCCTGAAATGGAAGGACCTGCCGTAGGTGGAACGAGACGTTGAGGATGAGGGTGGAGTTGACGGATGATTTGGACCATGTTGGCCAATTGAAGGTTGGGTCTGAAATTTCTTTGGAAAAAGGTTTTTCGACATTGAGGGCAAGTGAAGGTTTGAAGACGTCGAGGTCGAGCGGTGAGGACAGGAGGAGGAGGTGGTGGTGGTGGTGTTTGGATTTCTTCTTCTTCTTCTTCTTCTTCTTCTTCAACCTCTTCTTCTTCTTCTTCTTCCTCTACATCTTCCTCCATCACATCTTCATCGTAATCCTCATCTCCAAAGTAAAGTTCTCCACCAACTCCACCATCCCACATCTCCTCCTCCACGGGATCTTCCCATAAATCAGCATCATCATCATCATCTTCTTCGCTCCACATATCATCTTCCTCCTCTTCCTCTTCCTCCCCGCCACCATCTTCCTCCTCTTGCTCCACATCCAACTCATCTTCATCCAACTCATCTTCTTCTTCATCTTCTAAATCTTCTTCCAACCCACCACCACCACCACCACCAACCATCCTTCCTCCTGAGGTCACCTCAGAATCACTTTCACCCCCACCCCATAATTGAGAGATACAAACACGACAGAAATTGTGGCCGCAACCGATGGAAACGGGATCGACGAAATAATCCAAACAAATGGCGCAAATCGCTTCTTCTTGTAACGTCTCCACCGGGTTCAAACGTCCACCTGAACCCCCTGATGGGACCCCATCCCCTAAAGCCCCCGGAGTTGCCATGGTGACCACCAAAGGATGAAGGTTTCTCCTCCTCTTCTTCTTCCTCACCAGGTTTTCAGTTGTTTTCTTCACCTTCAAATGGGTTTTTTGAACCTTGAAGATCCAAGATCTGAAA